GGGGTAGGTCCTGCATACTAAACGGAAAGAGAGTAGATATAATTGGGGAACATTTGGACAACAACAGCTTCGATAATTTTGCTAGGATGAGTTCACAAAGTAATCGTGCGCCGCCACGCGCTTCAAGTTTTTTGCCGTAGGTCGATTGTATACGGTTGTTATTGCCAGTAACCGATAATATGCAGTAGCTGGGTGCGAGCTGAGGGATTTGTGTTATTTTGTGTTTTCAAATCGTTTCCAAAAAACCGCTTTGGTTGAGATGGTGACTACTTGAAATTACTGGCACTGAACACATTGCGTTATGCACCGAGAACACCACAGACGTCTTGATACGTTCCCAAACACAATGTGCAAAATGTGTAAGAGCTTTTTCTTGAGTTTAGAAAAATTGATACTAGAAATTAGACGAGCAAGAAGCTGTATTGGTAGCTGAGCTCCGAAATTGCATCACGATATTTGAGTTTGAAACTGAAGAATTAACTCATGTATAGGTTGGCTTGCATCATATGCGAGTAAATTGCATTGGGCTCGTTTAGCGGTTTCGAAGCTGGCTGGTTCTAAGGTTTGCAACAACAAACTTCTCGAGGATTCGTATGGCAATGATATACGAGTGTTCGGAAAAGCCAAATTCCTCCGATAACCGTAAAAAAATTAGCCGTTTTGTGCTCTCCATTGAGTTCTTTCCGCAAAATCATCAGTACACAAACCGTTCAAGGTAATCTCCAGCTTCAGGTGAGCTAGAATCAATGTTCAGAAACACCAGATTACAGGAATTCATTTGTTTAAAATGACCTCACTCGGACTAGTAACTAGTATGCATATCGAATTCCGCACAGTTATAGTTCACCCCACACTAGAACTCGGAAAGAAATCTGAACGCAACACTCAAAAACGAAATCTTATTGTGAACAGCGCAAAGCAGGAAAGTAAAAGAAAATCGTGTTCAGTGAAATAAACGAGCTCATAGTCTATGTAGAATCATTAAATTACTGATCTGTACCCGCACTTACAAGAAAGGGTGGTCTTACAGTGATCCGGCCAACTACCGCCCTGTTACACTTCTACCGTTACTGTCGAAATTCACGGAAGCCACTGTGGCAGATCTGTTGATAGAGTATTTGGAGAAGCATGAGCTTTCATCTCCGACTCAGCACGGATTTCAGCACAGGCGTTTGTGCACCACAAATCTACTTCTTACACGAGATGAGTGGACGAAATCCGTCGGTCCAGGCCAGGATATAGTTTATTTGGACTTCTCCAAAGTATTTGATCGGGCAAACCACCAAATTCTACTGCGAAAACTCTACAACTACGGAGTAAGAGGTTTGCTCCTGGACTGGATCAAAGAGTTTCTCCGACAAAGGACGATGTCAGTTCGTGTTGGTGGTTCATTATCAGAGCCTATCTCCGCTGCCCGAGGGGTTCCCCAAAGAACCGTTCTGGAGCCTCGGCTCTTTCTTGCTTTTACAAACGACCTGCCACATGTCCTTGGGCCTAATACACTGCTATTAGCGGACTACGCTAAGATCTGGAGAATTACAACATTCAGAGGATTATATAGCACTCCAACGAACGNCTGCCCACCGATGTTCAATCGCTAACGGTACCGAGTTCAACGGGTTTGGGAGTTATGGTACAGGAGGGCATATGGTGTTCCGCGCACTGTCCCAGAGCATCATCCATGGTTCTAAAGCAAGTTGGACTACTCAGATGTGTTTTCGGGCAGTCCGAAAGAGCACTATTCTCACGCTTGCTATCAGCGTTCTTTCGGCCACACACGACATATACCGTTCAAGTATGGAATCCATCGTTGAACCGCGACAAGAAGGCTTTAGAACGTCCGCAAAGGCTAGCAACAAAATCGGTAAAACGTCTGTATAACAAGACACACTCCGAAAGACTGCAAATATTGGGACTCTACTCATCTCAATATCGCTGACTTCGGGGAGACCTGGTCTTGGCATATCACATACTGCACCAATCCAACCACCCTTGCCATTCAATGCCGACTTTATCTCAAATTGATCACCTCAGGAGACATCCACAAAAGGTAAAGACCCAGAACAGCACCTTGATTGCCGGCCTCACTCGTTTGCAGTCAGAGTGTGCGGTGTATGGAACACTTAAAATTTCGACATCCGTGAGTGATCATGCATGTAATTATTACTGTTTTTCTCTTTTTGAAGTTATTCAAAATATTCTGTGAAAATCCTATGGAGCATGATGAGCTTCAGCCTTGTTAAATCGCACAATAAAAATTCGACTTTGACTGAGTACAATGGGTAGCGTAAGGCTATATGGTTTTTGTCTAGGCAAATCGTTCGAAATCAAGAGCGGTGTTCATCAAGGATGCCCTATTTCTCCATTCCGATTCAATGTTGTCGTAAACGAGATACTCGAGTACGCCCTAAGTGGTCTTCAAAATNAAAATGTTGGTGTTGAATGGGCAACTGGAGCAAAGCTGTACGATATAGAATAGACTGACGACATCGTTTATCTATTCGAATATATGGAGGATGCACACGGAGCCCTTAACAGACTTTCAAGTTTTTTAACTCCATTTGGTATACGCTTTGCAACTTCGAAATGCAAAGTGATGCTACAATATTGGGTGTCGTCTACCTCGGATTTGATGTGTGATACTCAAGAACTAGCTGTAATGGATTGTTTCTGCTACTTAGGTAGTTGTGTGATTAATGACAATAACTTATTCAAGGAAGTAACCGCCCTCGTTTCCAAGCCACAAGCAGCGTTAGCAGGACTGAAGCACTTTTGGTGCAGAGATGATGTTTCATTGACACTGAAAGGTCGCGTAGGACGGCGTCAGTGTGCGGCCAGTTCCGCTTTACGGTTGAGACCTTAGATCTGCGCGTGGAAGATATTCGCCGTCTAGAAAACGTTGACCGCCGATGTTTACATAGTTTGGCGCGGATTGGATGGTGCGAGCGTGCAAGCAACTCTGAGGTGAGTCATCGCGTATCTGGTAATGATTCGGTGGAGAGCTCATTCTCACATAGAATTCAGATCAGTACACTTCGCTGACTAGGACACTTATTGCGCATGCTCATCTGTCGTCCACCGCAGCTGAGGTTGCAAGTTCGAGGTAACCTTGTAGAGGTCAACAGTTGACGGGAAAACGAGGCATGAAGAAATGCACAGAGCGAATAGGCAAAATAGGTGTCCCCGTCTTCCTGGTCGGGATCCGAAAAACTCTATAAATGGCTGATTGGAAACATTGAAGGATATGGCAGCAAAACGACAGCAGCGGCGCTATTGTTGTCATTTCTTATAAGATCGGTATCCTTGAGAAGGTATGCGTGCACAGCTTGGTTGTGCACTCTGTATATTGACTACGGAGGTCCGCTTTCTTTGCCTCCCTTCAATTTGGCCCAAACCCTATTCATCTTGTACTTTCTCCTTAACTTTGTGTATATTGTGAACTTTGTAGCGATTAGTGAAGTTAACTTCTTTGTATCTCACTGTACGATAATGATGTTAAGGGACCGAATTTCATATTCCAAATAGAAAATGGTCGATCGCGGACCACTTTTCAAAGAGAACGATTGGAAAGATTAACGCCACACCGGGAATGTAGATTCGCTAGGAGATGCAAACCAGGACGTCGGGGTGGTTCAGTCCGAGCGGATTGCCAAAATGACACCAATACTTTTAAACGATAGTGGGTATTTGTACAGTACATATCTTTTAAATAAAGAGCTATAAAAGCGTTCAGCAAGCACCACTCAGAGGATCCATCCCTTTCCGGGTGTTACATACATAGTCGGTAAGACAAAATCTCGGTGAACAACGATTAACCCAACCCAAATCAGATGATTTGAAAAAGCGTCTTCGACCCAAATGGTAATGAACGATTCAGAATTCGGGGAAAGGAAAGGGCCACAATGGATAAGAAAACGGCTGGGGTGCATGAGATGGAAAAACAGACGGACGAAGGAAGCTAGAATACAATGTATGTGTGTATGTGTGGAAGTTGAGCATGAACGAAGGTGGACTGAATGAAAAAATAACCCGTGAGAAATTTTCGTCAAGACAGAAAGTGATGAGCGTAGTCGGTGGGGCTGGAAGTACTGGATGAACAGATGAAATATTGGACTGAGGAGGAGAACAAAGGCGCCTGGATACATCACATTTTCGTGCTCCTGGACACTTCGTTCCCACTGATCCCTGATAAAATACTGAAACTAGAATAAAAAACAAAGAAAGAAAATTTATTTTGAAGATTTTGAAGGACGACATTGAAATACGAATTAACCGGGCATTATAAATGGGACGAGTTCTCAACCTAATGAACAAGTTAATCCAATTCCAGTTCACAACACTTGTGGGCACAAGCCAACGAGAACGATTATCAACCAGACTGAAGTCAGTCAAAGTCAGCCTCTCGGTGTCCCAGACCACTCAGCAAGCATGCTTAAGTCCATGATTAGATTGTGGGCGTGGTTGTACTACCCGGTTTCTCAGGCCGGAGTAGAGGGTTTTCTTGGGGGGGGGACCCTACCCGGAGCCACCTTTGGTTAAAGAACCTGACCCACAAGGCAGTGAGAAGGAGTAAGGAGTCCACGATCCTCGTGACTGGGGGCCAGCTTATACGCCTTTCGAATGTGGTCAACTATCCAGGGTACCCAGATTGCCTTTGAGCCGTGCACTTACCAGTGAGCGTCACGGTGGTCAACTAGACCGGGGAACTTTGGAGACCGGTTCGGTTGTACCGAGGCTTGGTGTCACTATGAGCAAGTACAATAGAGGCAACTGTATTTGTTAAACATTCGAATTTTCCCTTATTATATTAAAATTTCATTCACAGCGGCAATATTTTATCGACAAAGAGATATTGAAATTGGGATGCAAATGTGTGAGATGATTGGTCCGGTCATGTGAATTACCAAACAGGCAGATAGACAGATAAAGCGATCGACTGACTGGATTATGAACTGCTTACCAGTAATGGAACACCCCAGTGTTCTGGAAGTGAGTGCATGCTAGTCGGAATCAAACGACATATCTTTCGTGGAAGACTCAAAAGGAATATGACTTGGGTGTTTCTCATTTAACTCGTCCAGGTCGTGGTCCTCATCGAGAAAATCTCCGGTCCACAACTGGCGAATTTCACCCAATCCACCGAATAGAAGTGTGACAATGATGGACGGCGCAAGGGTACAGGGGACCAGATACAATAGGGATGGATGCACATGACCGGTTTGTGCACGGATCACGTTCACTACGACTTGACCGACGATGTAACCTGGTGTGATGGGAAGGCAAGAACAAATACAAAAATAAGCAAAAAGAATAGTGCAAGAGGAAATAGATCATCGATATCAGTATCACTTAAGTGCGGTAAATCATAATGGACAGGAAAAGCTTAACTGGTACTCAGTCGATAGTTCGTTTGATTAATCTGAAGCGCTCTTTCAAACAAACAGATTCCGATAGTAACCAAGAGCGAAATAATTTTTAAATAGTGAAATAAAGTCGCGAATATCACACAGGTAAAATATGTGTGGTCTCAGAAAATCGCAGGTCCATTCAAGATACGCAACTCAGTTGTAAGTTCAGTTCCAGCTTTTACAACCATCAGCCATGCACTTTCGTGCGCACTGCCGCTATGTTCGCACTTTCAGTAAATGTCATTCAACGTTTTGCCTCCTAGTTTGTCAACGCTGCTTTTTCAATGGGACGGGGGGAGGTGGATTTAATTTTAGGGTTGTAAATGAGAAGAGGAAAACGGTACAGTTGTATTGACGGGTGGTGGTGGCCCGGTGATCACGTCACCAAATTATCACCCCACCGATTGACTTTCCCCATTGTGTGTGTGTTGAATGACAGCCCCGTTTGATTGACCGATTCCCCCTTTCTGAAAATTGTATCTTTGTATATTCAATGAAAGGAAGTAAAATGGAAAGAAAAAAAGACGAAGTATCACGGCACTCACCAATCACCGAGGTGCAAAAATTCCGGCAATAGCGCACCTGTTGTTGACAATCGTGCAACATGAACAATGCGCATATCAGTCCTGCTCGGGGGAAGAAGTGACAAAATCGGAAAACAAAAACACACGGTTACTGATACATCTTCTGAGATGATATAACATGACAGCCAGGTTAAACCCATTCAAAACGATCTCTCAAGTGACTGGACTATTTCTTTTCAACAGTTTGTGGAGTATACACCACAAAAAGCGCACAGCAGGAGAGAGAATGCATTTTACGAGATGGATTGGGCGAATAAAAATTATCATCCAGAACAGAATGAAACATTGCATTTCTCTTGGATTTGTCAATGACTCCGTTTCACGGGTTTCCCACAACACAGATGATAGAATATGTAGCAAATGGGGTTGGTAACCAGGAGGTAAGACGTCTTATGTTGGCAGTTTATCCGGGATAAATTTGCTAGGGCATAGAATTCAGATTAGTGGGCGTCGCTGGCTAGGGCCCGTAATGCGTACGCCCAGCTGTCATCTGCCGCAGTGAGCTTTATTCGCTGTATTCGCTCCGGGCCGGAGAAAACCCGGTGGAAATCAACAAATGAGGCGAAACCTGAAGAAATACATAGAGCTATTGGGTAGAGTAGATGCCTAGCGCCTTCCAGACTGCGGTTCGAAGGACTCCGCAACTGGTTGAATATATTGAGGACTATGGGAGCGAAGCGACAGGAGTGATGTTCGTGTTGTCATTTCTTATCAGGCCAGAATGCATAAAAAGGTACTTATGCACAGTTGGATTGTGTACACTGTGTACTGTCAATAGAGATTCACTTACTTCCCCTATTTCAAAGTAGATCAAAGCCCTGTGTGATGTTCATTGATTGACTGATGCTGATGATGAGGATGAGGGCACTGTATCTCTCTTACCATACGTTGGATGCATATCGGACTCCGATCAACCTAGTGCTATTTCTGCAGTTGCATAACGAATCAAGCTAGATGCGATGGTTACTTGGGCAACAAACGCTCAGCCAAATCGGTAGCAGTAACTTACCAGGTAATAACACGTGGGCGAACGGCAGTAGCCCAGTGTATTCCATGTAGCTACAGTTCCCGTGTTCCGAGCCGGAATAATGCAAAATACTGATACGGAATCCTCCCGGTACAGAACTGCCATCGAAACCTAACTGTTGAGTCAACAGGGTCTCGATGATGGACTTTCCGTCAGCCTGATTGGGAGAAAGATTAAGTAGGTCATGTATTAGTGATTAATTAATGCAACGGATATTAATAATAATAATGGTAATAGCATGTTGAGAAAGTAAACGATAACCCTCAAACGGTCACCTGAAAAATTGGTGATAAAGTGGAACTCTTCTTTTCACTAAGATGAGAGTAAAACAAGACAGGTCAAAGCAGCTGGGTGTCACTTGACTATCCTTGAAACTTTGTCAGAGTCACACTCAATCTATGCCTCATACCGCAACCACTTGCCAGAAAGTGTGTGCAAAGCTCAGCATAAACAGTCGCTGAAAAAAAATTTAAAGTGCAGTGTTAAAGCGATTTGCAAAAGACTAAATGAGCTCATCGACAAAGCGATTCGAGTATCTAACACAAAATCAAACATTAGTGAATAGTTGAAGAAATGCCTGCTCATCCGGAACTCAAAGGTCGGACTAATAGCAACTACTCTAACGGATTGAGCCATTCGCACAAGGTGATGATCGTCAATCATGTAGTCCCGACCCGAATGTTTCCGGTTCGAGTCCTGACGGGGACACAAAAGGTACGCTGTGCTGACGAGTTCCAAACAGGACGAAACAGCTGTCCAATGCTATTTGTCGGTTAGCACCAACATTTCTATCGCATTTGAATGCATTCAAATAGTGGTGAATTAACGAAATCCAAAGGAGTGAAACCCACATTCAAGACCAGCAAGAGTGCCTGGTGCCTCTTAACAATCGAATGGGTTAATCCAAACTTGATACTGTTCATCTTAAAGGAAGCTCATCACAACTGTGGGAGATGTTTGAGATGACGACGACCAAAACAACTAAATTCGATAGAGCGTGAGAAACAGGGTGGGTAGTCACCTTTAGACTTCAGAATAGAAAAGCAGCTTGATAGTGGAGTTATCAGAATACATCTACAGTGTATGAAAAAGTCACACTGATTTCTGAATGTCAGTGTACATCAATATAATCTCAGCAAAACAAGAGGAACCATGGTAAAAAAAAGTGCGAAGACTGGAGTATTCCTGACTAACTGTAATCATTTTCACTGACAAAAGGCTCTCCCGATACTTTTTATCATGCGCTAACAGCGTAAATGCATATATCACATCGGTTTGCACTGTAGTGAAGCTGTATTGACCAGATCATCAATGCGTTTAAATGTACAGGATAGAAGAAAACTTTCTTCTTAAAATTCATGTGTTACGCCACATCAACTCGATTTCTAACTACATAAGTCATTGGCTTTTTCTTGAGAATGTGTCACACAATCAAAACGTCCGTTTACTTTCATCAAATTACCCTTCACCTAAACAATTCCGAAATCAAATTTCGCTAATGGGTAGCTATCATTTAAGAACTATAAAGAAATTGACGACTGGAAAATCGTAGCGCCTCAATGGACTGATTCAACCAATGTCGCACAGTTCCTGCTTAACATCTGATTCTAGTTTGGTAATGATACAACATGTAACTCTTAATCAAGATGTGAACATAGGCTAAAGCTATCCGGGAAAGTGTTACTTATCGAATCAGAAACAGCGGTTGCATGCATATGACAAACAGCAACAGGTGTATATGCACCAGTACACCGCCCTACGTTACGCATATCACCAAATAGATTGCCAAGGCAAGCGATGTTCGCCGAGGCAGGTAGTGGGTGGAATAAAGCCAAGGGTGGTCAAACTAAGACCTGGCATGAGGGTATAAAAACCCTAACCAGGAGTCTGGGTCACATAGGTCGCGTTGGGTTCCCTGGATGGGGATCTCGGGATGATCGTAATCGATGGTTAAAGACACTGAGTGATATGGCCTAGTGTCATAAACTGTGACGTTCTTGCATCTTCTCAATTTGTTTGCAACATTAGCCAACTGAAATCCTCTACTTTCTTTTCGACCCTACTTTCAACCTCCCTATCTCTCTCCTACTACTTCATCCAAATAGGCATATAAAAGACAG